TTGTAAGCACACAACTGGATGTCTTCGTATGCTGTAACATTACAGTTTTGCTCAGTTCCCTGGAACTAAGAGGCCCAAACCTGTTCCAGCATGACAATGCCCCTGGACACAAAGTGAGGTTCATGAAGATGTGGTTTGTCAAGGCTGGAGTGGAAGAACTCGAGTGTCCTGCACAGAGCCCTGACCTCAACCCCACTGAACACCTTTGGGATGAACTGTAATGCCTCTTCACCTGACATCAGTGCCTGACCATACTAATGCTCTGGTGGCTGAATGGACAAATCAATTCAATTTTATTTGTATAGCGCTTTTAACAATGGACACTGTCACAAAGCAGCATTGATTTACAGAACTGATTTACAGAAATCAATACATTCAAAATAAATTAAATCAAAATAAGTTGCAAATGTGTGAATTTATCCCTAATGAGCAAGTCAGAGGCGACAGTAATGAGGGAAAACTCCCTGAGACGATATGAGGAAGAAACCTTGAGAGGAACCAGACTCAAAAAGGAACCCATCCTCATCTGGGTGACGCTAGACAGTGCAATTATAAATAAATCCCTGCTATAACTGTGTACTACGTGGACACATAGTGCAATTGTGCAACCAGTAAATTCATCACAGTTTTCACATGAAGCCTGGTTTGTTGAACCTATCCACTGTCCACTGATGGAGACCTGAGTGCAAAACTGCTCGCACCATCCACAGCCCCAAAGCCACCACAGGACAACTCCCCATATGAGATCCCCATCCATGTGAGGCCACCCCCAGCAGCTGCGAGCGATCACCAAACGATGAGAACTCCAACCAGAAGTAGCGCATCAGGATGTATCAGGCAGGTCTGGAGAGCAGAAGGGGTCAGGATCACTGGTATCTCAGGAGTAGCATAGTAGTGGAAAGCCTTCCCAGAAGAGTGGAGGGTGTTATAACAGCAAAGTGGGGGACTAAATCTGGAATGGGATGTTCAAAAAGCACGTATGAGTGCTATCGGCAGGTATCCACAAACTTTTGGCCATATACTACAAAGTATGATTGAATCATATTAAACTCATGTAGTAAATGTCAAATTTAAAAATCTATGCAGTGAAATTAAGGGACTCGACATCGTGAATAAATGAACAAGACATCATACAAAGAAACCAGCAAGAAAAATTCAGATGACAGACAGATAAGAGTGTCCACAATGCAAAATAACAAACCCAGCAGGAAGGGAACTATAAAGCTCTCAGACCGAAGATATGTCTAATCTTTCTACCACTGACCACATGTGAGTCATAATGGTCCACCCACAAGTACCACCCTAGAAAACCCTAAAAAAAAAATAATAATAATAATTTCCAGCCAGCAGACGTAGACTGTCCTGAGGGTATTCTGGTCATTAACAGTTCCTTCTCAGGTACTCAGTATTAATGTCCACAACAGGGATATTAGGAAAGTTCTTCAGAAAAAAATGCTGAGATGAAAAATCTAACATACAGTCTGTGGAATAATATCAGTGACTCCATACTGCTGCTGTATGTTGTTGGTATCAGTGGTGACAAGTTGCCATATACAAACCAGTTCAATTAAAAATTGAACTTCACAATACCACGTAACATCACTGTTTAAATAGTTAAGAGCACACTACACCAGTCTCAAAGGCTAGGTGGACATTAGCCAGCTAATATCTCAATTTTTTTGTGTTGGAGACTCCTTTTGGGTGACCAAAATGAAACATGCAAATACCACATGAAATACCTAGGAAATATAAACAAGGTCCTCTTTTTGCACTGGCAAGAATCATTACAATATGATAACTTTTATGCAACATTTTTATATTACATGAAGAACACTAATGGCTTGCTTTAGGTAGGCTGTATCACTAAATTCTATTTCTTGCATTTGTGTTAAACATAGAAAGCTTTCTCTTCATCCTCTTTATCTTGAACCCTAAATATCTTTTTTAATTCTTACTTTTAATTTCCGTCTTTTTTTTTTTCTCCTTTTTTTGTGGGCATCTTGCACATCCTGTAAATGTAGATTTAATGCCAACAAGGTAAGAGAACATGGGCTATTTTTTCCAAACTGCACCAAAGTAATAGCATCAAAGCCAGCTAAATTACCTAACAAAACAATTCACCCCATAAACCACTTGTACAGTGTACCAGCAGAAAGTGCAAACAGTAATATACTATATGGCCAAAGGTTTGTGGACACCTGACCATCTCACCCATATGTGGTTCTTCCCCAAATGCTGCCACAAAGGTGGAAGTACACAATTGTATAAGATGTCTTTGTATGCTGTAGCATTATAATTTCCCTTCACTGGAACTAAGAGGCTCAAACCTGTTCCAGCATGACAACGCCCCTGTGCAAAAAGTGAGCTCCATGAAGACATGGTTTGCCAAGTTTGGTGTGGAAGACCTCAAGTGTCCTGCACCTCAACCCCACTGAACACTTTTGGGATGAACTGGAACACCGACTGCACCCCGGTCCTCCTCACCCAACATCAGTGCCTGACCTCACTAATGCTCTAGTGGCTATGGGGATTTGTGTTCATTCAGCCATAAGAGCATTAGTGAGGTCAGCCACAGTGCAAAATCTAGTGGAAATCCCTCCCAGAAGAGTGGAGGTTCTTATAACAGTAAAGGGGGAATAAATCTGGAATGGGACGGTCAGGTGTTCACAAAGTTTTGGCCATGCAGTATACTAGCTACTCTAATGCCTACTAGCACACTTCTCTTAAATGTTTGAGGGTTTTCTCTGCATAGATGAGCCCAAAACATACACAGATGAGGAGACAGGAGAGTGGGGATTACATGTAAGAGGGGGAACATTTTAATTTGTCTGTACATTTGTCATATTGTCATTTCAGTTCATAATTGCCTAAAATAACATTAGCAATTATGTACAAAGGGGCTTGTATGATTATTTAAGGGGTAAAAGATCACACCCTACACCACATTAATCCTGCACATGCCTGGTCCACAACAGAATGTCACAAGTGTTACCAAACTGACCACCTGTCATTACGCTATTTCAGCCCAACAGTCAGCCACGGCCCCTTCACATGTTTGTGTTTCTGTCATCAGGACAACTTCCTGAGCAACATAATTGTTGATAGACAAAACAATGGTTACAATATTCCTCATTTTTAAAAATAATCAGGCACAGAGGAAGTGTCGAGACATATACATACACTGTCACAGGCTGTCAAACAATCTTTAGAGATGGTTAATTAAAAGTTTGTCCTGGAAAAAAAAAGTTTCTGTTTAATGTAATTAAATCTGTTTGTCGAGTAAATTGGTCTATCTCTCTTAACAACGAGTCCTCCTATTTAAAGAATATGAGTATTTAGCAATCATGCGTGAATGAGCTGGCTCTGAGGCAACTCAGTACGGCTCAAAAAAGAACAAAACACACACACACACACACACACACACACTTGTTTGTCCTACTATCCTTGTGAGGACCTTCCACTGACATAACTATTAATACAGCTAATTAATGCTATGCCTACATCTAAACCTAATCCTAACCTTAATCTCAGTAACCAAGAGGAAACATTTAGTTTTTTAAAATAAAACCAGCCAAATGTCCTCATCAGGTCAAAACTTTCAGATAGTACTATCCTTGCCAGTCCCCACCAAGATATAAACACACACACACATACACACACACACTTTGCAGCTGTTCACACATAACAGTTGGGTGACCAGTGAAGCATAAATCTAAAGGGAGTGAAACTAAAGTGAATATGTATTTAAATAAGCGTAGACGCCACCAACAAAAGAAGTTTTGTCCGGAACAGTAATGCCTCTGGAGATATAATAAAGGGAGAAAAATAAGTGCTGTTATCTTAACATCCCTGCATTCCTGGCCTAGGGGTCTATTTATGTTCATTTCATCAGCACCAGTTTGACTTTTTCACATGCCTTCACTGGATATCAGTGACTAATCACTCTTAATATCATTCATATATATGTTCTTTGAATGAACATGATTTAAATGCTAGTGATGACTGATGCCAGACAAGACTAATCTCACACACTGCTGAAAATGAAGTGTATATGGAACAGCACCATGGACAGTAGCTGTACTGTACAACACTACATGGTCACATCTCATTTCAGGTGGCATATAAAAGCTATGTAGATATTATTATTATTATAATTATTAAATTTTTTACCTTCTTTTGCCTTCTTCTTGCGAGACAGCGTGCCTCCGAGCTTCCCAAGAAAAGACTCGTCCTTCTTCATCTTTCCCGAGTGCGCCGCAGGTCTGGAAGTAGACATCTCTCAGTCTGCTGGGATTGCCTTTGCATCCAGGGCTGTGTTTCAAATCCGGAAACGACCCGCTCAGTGCACTTCAGAGCGCACCTGGTGGCAGCAGAAATGCCGCGTTAAAGCACTACAGCGGCGCAGACAATGGCCAAGCGGAAAGAGGCCTTCATTAGGACGAACAGTGAAGGGTGACTCGTTATACAGTCACCGGTCTGTTCTATGGAATGCCAAAAGGTCCATAAACACGGAAAACTGGCCACATATTGGCCACGTTTACATTGTTAAGACCGCCTTTACAGCTGTATCTATTTGGATTCAACACTAGTGATGGGAAGTTCTCAAACAATAGGTCTTTATGCTAAGTAGGTAAATTAGGTATCTAGGTAAATTAAATTCACATATTTATGGAGCTACTGATCTACATGTGCTGTGCACGGGGCAGCAGGGCATATCTCCTGGGGTCTCCAAAAAGAAACATTTCATTACCTTTCATGCATAAATTATTTATACACATATCCGGATTCTTTTGTATTTTCTTTTCTTTTTGCTTAAAACAGCATGGTTGCTGTAGTTCCTCTTTCAGCTTCTCCTGTTAGGGGTCACCACAGCAAATCACTGGTACACATATTTGATTTGGCACAGTTTTTATGCCGGATGTCCTTCCTTACACAACCCTCCGCAATTTTATCCAGACTTGGGACTGACACTGGGAGTGCACTGTCGTGTGCAACCCCAGTGGCTGAGCTGGGAATCGAACCCAGGCCGTGGTGGTGAGAGCACCATGGCCAAACCACTTGTGCTTCAGGGACCTTAAAATTGCATGGTACTGTATATGAATTTATTCTGTCTAAATATTACTTATATTTAAAAAGTAAAAGGATTGTATGAGTTAAAAAAAAGGTGCGTGGAGTTTGCATGTTCTCCCTGTGCTTCAGGGGTTCCTCCGGGTACTCCGGTTTCCTCCCCCAGTCCAAAGACATGCGTTGTAGGCTGATTGACATTTCCAAATTGTCTGTAGTGTGTGATTGTGCCCTGCGATGGGTTGGTACCCCATCCATGATGTCTCCCTCCTTCTGCCCCGAGTTCCCTGGGATAGTCTCAAAGCTCCCTCGTGACCCTGTGTAGGATAAGCGGTACGGAAAATGGATGGATGGCATAATCTTTTAATGAAATCTTACGTTAATAAAGTCTCCTTTAGTATATAGATATCCCATGTATGAGCAGGGTTGTTTGTGAACCCTTAGGGGCCCTAAGTGACATCCTACTGGCAACACTGTTCGTGATTTTCACTTGTGATTGTCACATTTCACTATTCAATGTTGTGAGATCAAACTAAATCAGACATTTGAGTTTGATAAATCTCCACGTTAGTAGCCAACAGTTTGCTAAAACTGATTTTTCATAATGCAGGATTTTTTTGTGCAAATGTTTGTCTTTTTTAAATGTTGTCATGCTTAATTGTAAATTGAATGTGATTTGTTACTACTATTACATAGATGAACATTCTCTTAACCATAAAATTGCCATAAAAAAATAGTAGTATCTATTTGTAGTATTTAATTAGTTTATCAGCAAGCAATTGTATTTAAAAGTCTAAAAGTCTGCATTAATACTGCAAACCAGACACATTTGCCATGTTTATGGACTGTTTGGCTTTTCATACTGCCTCTGCCTCCTCCCACTGTCAGGACCAAGGCTGTAAAATTAGCATCCTAATTTACAGAGAAGAAAACTCATGACCTGCATTTTTAATATAATCCCTTTTTACCTTTAATTAAATTTGTTGAATTCTAAATACCAATGATCCAATTTTAGTATAAAAAATTAAAATGTACAAATATTACAAGATAACTGGTTACAAATGAACCCGTGTTATATGAAAGTCTATTAATGGACACATAAATGATCTCACTGTAATATCCACTGTATATCTTAAACCATTATATTCTGTTATCTCCTTAGTACTCAGTGTCCCATTGACCCATCTTTATAACATGCATTTTAAAGTACACACTACAGTCAGGTCCGTAAGTATTTGGACAGTGACACAATTTTCATAATTCTGCCTCTGTACAACACCACAATGGATTTGAAATGAAGCAGTCAAGATGTGATTGAAGTGTAGACTTCCAGCTTTAATTCAAGGGCTTTAACAAAAATATTGCATTTACTGTTTAGGAATTACAGCCATTTTTTCCTGAGTCCCTCCATTTTTACAGGCTCAAATGTAATTGGACAAACTAACATAATAATAAATATAAGGATTATTTTAAATACCTGGATGCAAATCCTTTGCAGTCAATGACTACCTGAAGTCTGGAACCCATGGACATCACCAAATGCTGACGTTCCTCCCTTGAGATGCTTTGCCAGGCCTTTACTGTAGCCACCTTCAGTTGCTGCTTGTTTGTGGGTCTTTCTGCCTTCAGTTTTGTCTTCAATAAGTGAAAAGCATGTTCAGTTGGTTGAGGTCAGGTGACTGAATCAGCCATTTAAGAACATTTAATTTCTTTGCCTTAAGAATCTTTCATAGTACATTTTGGGTAATGACCTATCTGTACCGTGAAGCGCTGTCTTATCAGTTTCACAGCATTTTACTGAATCTGAGCAGAAAGTATAGCTCTGTACACTTCAGAATTCATCTTGCTACTTCTGTCAACAGTCACATTATCAATATACACCAGTGACACAGTTCCATTGGCAGCCATACATGCCCATGCCCTAACACTGCCTCCACCATGTTTGACAGATGATGTGGTATGCTTTGGATCATGGATCATGCTTCTTCTCCTTCTCCATACTCTTCTCTTCGTCTCATTCTGGTACAAGTTAATCTTGGTTTAATCTGTCCAAAGAATCTTGTTCCAGAACTGGGCAGGCTTGTTTTTTTAGATGCTTTCTAGCAAAGTCTAATCTGGCCTTTCTGTTCTTGAGTGTTACCAGTGGTTTGCATCTTGAGGTAAACCCTCTGTATTTACATTCATGAAGGCGTCTCTTGATTGTAGACTTTGAGAATGATACACCTAGCTCCTCATGAGTGTTTTTGACTTGGTTATATTTTGTGGAGGGGTTTTATCTTCACCAAGGGAAGAATTCTTCAATCATCCACTTTAGTTTTCGTTTGTGGTCTACCAGGCCTTTTGGTGATCCTGACCTCGCCACTGCATTTCTTCCTTGTAAGAATTGTTGATTTGGCCACTCCTAAAGTTTCTGCTATGTCTCTGATAGGTCTGTTTTTTCAGCCTAATGATGGCCTCCTTAACTTGCACTGACACCTCTTTGGACCACATATTCAGAGTTCCCATGAACAGCTACCAAATGCAAATCCAACACTTGGAATCAACTCCAGACCTTTTATTTCCTTAATTCCAGATTTTTAATTTCCAAATTTGGCTGTAAAACTGCTTGTCAGTCAATTGTCCAATTACTTTTTAATTACTGTGAAAATAGAGGGACCATGAAAAAAATGGCTGTATTTCCTATACGGTTAATGCAATATTTTTGTTAAAGCCCTTGAATTAAAGCTTGAATTAATAAAGTCTAAACTTCAACCACATCTTGATTGCTTCATTTCAAATGCATTGTGGTGGTGTACAGAGCTAAAATTATGAACATTGTGTCGCTGTCCAAATACTTATGGACCTGACTGTATATCTTTATTTCTTTTAGTAATATACTGTAGATATTTCTGATAATCCTTTCACAAGGTCGGGGACAGTGGGTATGAGTGTCATGTGATAGGAAATAAAACTGCATTTCTGATTAGTACTTATTTTAAATGGTTTCTCACATGTTAAAATGAACATAATGTGTGTAATATATTATCAAGTCAGAAAAAAAAATTCCCACTAGAATTTAATATGTAAAAAATTTTATGTGTCATTCTGACCCAATTTCAGAACATTAGGATTAAAAGCTGTATATTTAATGAATTAATTGTTCACAGTGTCAGTG